CCCCAGTCTCACTGAAGAAGGTGTTGAAGGAGTCATCCCCTCCTCCGATGGTCTTGTCACTGGGCATCTGCCCATCCGGCTGGATCCCATGCTCCAGGCAATACAGCTCCCAGCATGCATTGCCAATCTGCACACCAGCCTGGCCAACATGGACAGAAATACACTCACGCTAAAGAGGGAAGAACAGATTGTCATTCTCATAGGATGGAGAGGAGTTCTATCTACATTGAGTATGGGGCTGTCAGGGGATATTGTCTGTATAGATCATGACATTCCACCACTATAACTTTTGGATCCCATCCACCCCATCCATGATTGGTCTCCATTTGAGTCTTGTGTCATAGGAGATTTCCCCAGGTCTAGCCAATTCCAGATCACTGATCCTCCCTGAGGAGCTCCCCTTCCTCCCAAATCACCAGGATTGGTAAATACCACTCCCTAGCCTTTTGTCAATTCTTGCTAGGCAGGCATCCCATCTACCTGACCTGCATTAGTCACACCCACCAGCACCTGAAGGAGGAAGGAGGCTCCAAAAGCTCATGTTTTCAAATAAACCTGTTGGACTCTAACCTGGCGTCGTGAGATTGCTGACCTCAGCCACCCCAATCCAACACCAGAACCCCCACATTGTCACATCTCCTAACATCCTGACCCCTAGCAGTCTGAAACTCATCAGTCCGACCCCTTATCAATCATATGCCCGTCCCAAGCCCGCCACCCATGATACTGGTTCCTTTTCCACCTGACAACGTATCGGTCTGAGCCACGTCCCTCAGACCCTATCAGCCTGATCCACCACCCATCCCCCTGGCTCTGAGACCCCATCTCCCTGACCGCTGGTGACCTCTCTGGCTCAATGGAACACTGGCGCTCTCCACATTCTATCACATGTCCTTACCATAATGTCTGTCTATTGCCGCGGCCCCTCTCGATCTGTTGCGCATCTTTTGACGCCCGCGCTATTTATACCGTATGGCCTTTGGCCAATTCGAGCTTTGATTGGTCGCTGAGATCAATGGGCTCTTGTTGCTTTGACACACGTCAACAAAGGCGTGACTCTACACAGCGCTGATTGGTTACTTTGTGAAAGAGGCGGGGTCGAGTCGTCACAATTGATGCTGGGAGGTGTCCAATGCAAAAAGAAAGGAGGGGTTTGTCGCTCAGTCACTGGTTCAATGGGACGATCAATCAGAGTTTCGCCTCACAGAGACAGTCTTCAAGCGCCCATTTGAGGCATTCATCAGTCCGAGCCCCTTCTTCAGATCATCACCAGTCAGACCCCTAGCTCAGTCAGTGTCATCATTCAGATCCCATTCATAAGAGATTCATCAGAAAATCCCTGTACAGTCACAGTCCCATCAGTCAGAATCCATTCATCGGAATTCTATCATTCAGATTCCCTCAGCCACAAGAATCTCCTCTGTTACCTTCCTCAAAGACCTGATTGATGATCCTGTAAGAACCAGAGCCAATATGATAGGGGGCAGGGTCTTAGATCCGTATTTTTCAAAGGCAGCCTATAAGACTTTGGTCTGTCTCTTGTAAACGTTTTGCACATGCCAGAGCCTCAAAAATGGCTCTTTCTAATACATGTACTGCGGGGAAAGCTGACACTCTGCCACCATCAAACCGCCATTCAACTTACAAACACCTTTATTTTATTTCCATCTGTCAGACTCCCAAATATTAGTCATACTTGTGCCTGTTGTTAACTTCAGACTTCTTTTGTTTGGATTCATTCATGGGATGGGTGTCTCACTGGCTGGGCCATCATTTGTTGTCCATCCCCAGTTGATCTGGAGAAGGAGCTGGTAAACAGCCTTCTTGAGCCGTTGCTGTCCATGTGCTGTAGGTAGATCCACAATGTCATTAGGGAGAGCTTCCAAGATTTTGAATCAGCAGCGATGAAAGAATGGCAATATATTTCCAAATCAGGATGGTTGGTGGCTTCAAGGGGAATTTGCATGTGATGGTGTTCCCATGTATGTGCTCTCCTTGTCCTTCCTTTAAGTTAATATTATCACACCAACAATCACAAAGGTTCTGGGGATTACTATCTTTTCAACCATCTTCATCAGATTTATTTCTGAATGGTTACTACCTTCAAACCCAACCCGTTGGATGTCATCATTAGATTTCTACTTATAAAATGGATATTGATCGGCTTGCAATCTATCAGAAACTTTGAGTGGCATGATTTATAAATGTTTAGCAAAGATTCTTGTTCTTGTACTTTATAGAACCAAAAATATTAGGAAGCTGAAAAGATATTGGTGAATGATAATCATTGAGATGGTGGTACCTGTCAGATATCCATTAGGACCAACTGCACCATGAGCTGGGAAGTGGGTTCAGAGGGAAGTGAACCTTTTATATTCAATCTACTTCTCAATCTGACACCTATCTTTGGCACATTTTTAAAGTCAAAACTTGTACTTCTTTTATCATCCCTGGAACTATGGATTTGTTTGCTTTACCTTTTCCTTTTAAGGGAATATACTCCGATTGTACCTGAACCATTCTTCTTTGAAGGTAGCATATAATTGTTCTTGTCAACCTTTGATTCCAATTCATTCAACCTAGATCTATTCTTGGTACATTGAAGTTGGCTCTCCCTCAGCTAATTATTCATTGTTCTATTAATTGTCCTTTTCTATTGATACCCTAAACCTTATGATACAATGATCACTGTTTCTCAAATGTTCTCCCACTTGCTACTTCTTGACCTACTTGTGTCCATCTTATTCCCAAGAGCCAGGTCTAGCATTACCTCCTTTCTTCTTGAACTGGATTTGAGTTCAGATGAAGGGATGTCTTATTGCAGTTATACAGAGCCTTGGTGAGACTACCACTGGAGAATTATTGGCAGTTTTGGCTTCCCTACCTAAGAGAGGATATACTTGCCTCAAAGGGAGTGTAGCAGAGGTTTACTAAGCTGCTATCAGAGATGACAAGATTGTCCTGTGAGGAGAGATTGATTTGACTTTATTCCTGGGATGTAGGCATCTCTGGCTGGATCAGCATTTATTGCCCATCCCCGATTGCCTGGAGGGGATGGTAACAGTCAACCACATTGCTATGGATCTGAAACCAGATGGGTTTTTACAACAATTAATAGTGTTTATACAGTCAACATTGGGATAACTTCTTTTAAATTCCAGACATTTTTATTGCTGTGTTGGGGTTCAAACTGGAAGATTAATTTGGAGTTCTGGAGTACTAGCCCAGGGCTTATATTCACTAGACATTAAAAGGATGTGAGGGGATATGATTGAAATGTGTAAAATTCTAGCATGGTTGGACAGACCAGGTGCAGGAAGGAAACTTTGCTTGATTGGGGAGTCTAGAACCAAGGGTCACAGTCTCAGGGTAAACTATTTAGGACTGAGAGGAGGAAATATTGAATTAAAGGGTACAGAACCTGTGGAATTCTCAATCACAGAAGGCTGTAGAAGCCAAGTCATTGAATATATTCTAAAAAGGGGTGCTTTTAGGTATTAAAGGCATCATGGGGTATGGAGAGAAAGCTGAAATGTCATTAAAATAGAGGATCAACCATGGTATTATTAAATACTGGAGCAGGCTTGAGGGTGGATTGGTCTATTCCTGCTGCTAATGTTTATGTTTTTATACTGCTGCAGAAAGTTTTCAACATCCCTGATGAACGGTTTCCCATCTCTGCCCATGACACTACAATTAGTCCAGCATACATTTAGATAATCAAAGTCACCCATTGTAACCCATGTATAATTTTCTTGCAAGCATCTTCCTCTACATCCATTGCACTAGTTCGTGGTCTAAAGACTACACTGAGTAAGTATGTAAGTAATGTAAGTAAGTATGCCTTTTGTTTTGTTCATTTGCTCCAGCCGAATATATTATGTCCTTGCCCCCATTGTGACATCCTCTTTCTCTAAGTCTTTCTCTTGAGTTTTGCGGAAGGGTCACTGGACCCGAAATGTTAACTCTGATTTCTCTTCACAGATGGTGCCAGACTTGCCGAGCTTTTCCAGCAATTTCTGTTTTCGTCTCTTTCTCTAACACTGAAATGTTTTCCGCAGCCAGTACCACCACCCATCCTCCTTTTCTTCCTTTCCTTATGCTTCCTAAACAGTTTGTTCCCAATAATGTTTAATACCCATTCTTTGAGCCAAGTCTCTGTTGTCGCCACAATATATTGTCACATATCAATCTATACCTGTAGCTCACAAATGTTATTTGTCATGCATACACAGAAACTCTGATTTAAACTTCATGACTTTCTCCTTTAGTCAGGCACTGGTCTTCATAGGGTTTGGAACATTGTGGGTACATTTGATGGTGATGGTGGATATCTGGAGATTGGTGTTATAGTCTTTTTCCAAATGCTAGCTCTTTGAAGAGGGCTTAGGTCGCAAGAACAAATGTAAAAGTGCGCTAGTTCTGATGCACCGCCTGTGGCAGATGTGCGTCTGGTACAGAAGGGTCTGCCTCAGATGAGACAACACAGAGTGGAGCTGGAGGAAACACAGCAGGCCAGGCAGCATCAGCGGAGTTGGAGAGTTGCCAGGCAGCATCAGAGGAGCAGGAGAGTTGACGTTTCGGGTGGGGACCCTTCTTCAGAAAGTGTTCCTCCAGCTCCACTCTGTTGTCTCTGTGACTGTGACTGAGCGGAGGAATCTAAGGGGCTCTAAGGAATGGGCTCTGACTGACAGTTGTCTTCGATGAGCCCCTGATGCCTGTCGCTTGGAGGTGAGGCTCTGACTGAACGTCCCTTGCCGGAGGGATTGCAAGGCAAACCCCGCCTTCCTTTTAGCTTTGGGCCCCTCCCAGCATCAATTGTGACGGCTCGGCCCCGCCTTTTCCACAAAGTAACCAATCAGCGCTGTGTAGAGTCACGCCTCTGTTGACGTGTGTCAAAGCAACAAGAGCCCATTGTTCTCAGCGGCCAATCAAAGCTCGAATTGGCCAAAGGCCATGCGGTATAAATAGCGCGGGCGTCAAAAGTTGCGCAACAGATCGAGAGGAGTCGCGGCAATAGACAGACATTATGGTAAGGACACGTGATAGAATGTGGAGAGCGTTTGTGTTCCAATGAAACAGAGAGGTCACCAGCGGTCAGGGGGTGGGGTCTCAGTGCGATGGGCTGTCAGTTGGATGGAGGGGCGTGACTGATTAGGGTCATTCCGATCATGATTCTGATTGATAAGGGGTTAGACTGATAAGGGTGATCGATGGCGTTAGATTAATGGGAGACCAGACTGATGTGGAGTGATTGGGGTTCTGATGGTGGGGTTCTGATGGATGGGTTCTGATTCAGCTCTGATTGACAAGTGTAGAGGTCTCTAAATCTAGGGGAGGGGGTCATCTACAGGAAGGAATCACAGACGATTGTCACACTGTTTACTTATTCCACTAGAATAGAACTAGAAGATCCACCTGGCTGTGACGATCAGGGACACCTGGAATTGCCCAGTAAGGAGGGGATTCTCCAGGGGCAGTGAATACAGTTAAATGGAAGATATTTGGGGAATGGATGGGTACCAGAACTTATTGCAGTTGTGGATTGTTTTGCTGTGTGCAATCTTTGTTTTAGCATGACAGTGCAAAACACTTGACTTCCTCCTGTGGGAATAATGATCTGCTCTGACTCTTTAGCGTGAGTGTATTTCCGTCCACGTTGGCCAGGCTGGTGTGCAGATTGGCAATGCGTGCTGGGAGCTGTATTGCCTGGAGCATGGCATCCAGCCGGATGGGCAAATGCCCAGTGACAAGACCATCGGAGGTGGGGATGACTCCTTCAACACCTTCTTCAGTGAGACTGGGGCAGGAAAACATGTTCCCCGAGCCGTCTTTCTTGATCTAGAGCCCACTGTGATTGGTAAGAGGAGGGATTGGGGAAGGCTCACACACTCAGTGTTCTCACTGAAATATGGCATGAATTCTTGCTGTCTTCCTGTTGTAATCTGTGTTCCCTGATCCCAGATGAGATCCGCACTGGCACCTACCGACAGCTGTTTCATCCTGAACAGCTCATCACTGGCAAGGAGGATGCAGCTAACAACTACGCCCGGGGTCACTGCTCCGTGGGCAAGGAGATTGTGGATCTGGTCTTGGATCGCGTGCGGAAGGTGGTAGGTTCTGTTGGTTAAGTGAGTTGGAATTGCCCAGTGAAATTATTTGCAGTGCATCATTCATCCTTTGCTTGTTGCAGACTTTCCAATAGCCAGATGGTTCTTTTGCATAGCCTCGTCTTAAGTTGTGCATTGGGACCATGGATTTGCCAGAGAGGATAAAAACTTTGGCAACTCACCTGCGTCTGGAACCCTCTGTGATCATTCCTTGAAGTTACTGAGAGTTTGGGCTCACCTTTGCTCATTCACCCAGGAAGTGTTAGAGTTTTAAAATCTATGCTGACACCCAGATAGCTGTTAAACTAAACACTTCACAACTGCCTCCTCACCCCAACCTCACCTGACCACATGCTCTGGCCATCCTGACACTGGTACCAATAGCCTGCACTCAAGCATGACCCACCCACTGAGTGCTCAAAACTGTGTTCCCACTCATCTAACTAGCACCATTCCCTCCTCTCCCCCCCTACCCACCCAACTTGCACCCTACCTCTCACTTTCATTACATACTTTTCTTCAGTGACTGTCAAAGTGCGTTTGGGAATCAAATTAACTTTGTAGTCATTGAAGTCTCACCAGCATGCCTTGTAGGGTCTTAGTTTCTTGGTCATCAGAGACTAGCTTTATTATTTTAGATATATTCACGAAATGATCATTGATTGTGGCAAAAAGCAAACCTGCCCATTAATGATCTTTTAGAGAAAGACACGTATAAAAGCTGCTGTTGTCCTCACTTGTCTGTCCTGTGTGACTGCAGATCTATTCCAATGTGGTTGACTACAAATGTACCCTGAAATGGCCCCAGTGAAACATTAACTTCAAGGGTGATTCAAGATGGTCAACAAACGGCAGCCTTGCAAATGATACCCACATCCTGAAAAAGAACTAAAAATGTTCTGAAGGCTTCAGACCTGTTGCTGGTTGTTGGCTGGATACTTGGTTTCCAAGAACCTGTTTAAATATCTGACTCCACACAATTTCCCAAGGTTCTCCACATGTTCACTTTCCATGCCCATTTTGACGGATTCATGAAATGTATACGTTATTGGCTACTCCATCACTTGATTCCCATCCCTAATTACCCTTGAGAAGCTGTCATAAGTTGCCTTCTTGAACCATGGTGGCCCGGTGGTGCTATTACACAGGGTTATCGAGAATTTAGACCCAGCAACACAGAAGCAATATATTTCCAACTCCGGGATGGTAAGTGGCTTGAAGGAGCAATGTGACATCTCCTATCCTTCTCCTTCGAGACTGGAGAGGTCACATTTTAGAAAGGGTCTGTTGAAGAAACGTTGATGACTTACTGCAGTGCATCTTGTATATGTTACACACTGCTGTTGGTGGAAAGAGTGAATGTTTGTGTACGTGGTGCCAGTCAAATGAATTGCATTGTCCTGGATGGTGTGGAACTACTTGAGTGTTTTTGGAGCTGCAACCAGGCAATCAGGGTTTATTCCATCACACTCCTGACTTGTAAGTAGTGAACAGACTTTGGGGAATCAGAAGATGAGTTACTTAATTCAGAATTTCTCAAGCCTAACTTTGTTCTTAAGGCTACAGTATTTATATCTTTTAAAATATTCATGTTGTGCTTAATGTGTTTGTGCTTCTCCCTCCACAGGCTGATCTGTGCACAGGGCTGCAGGGTTTCCTCATCTTCCATAGTTTCGGGGGTGGCACTGGTTCGGGTTTCACTTCCCTCCTGATGGAGAGACTCTCTGTCGACTACGGCAAGAAATCCAAGCTGGAGTTTTCCGTCTACCCCGCTCCCCAGATCTCCACCGCGGTGGTAGAACCATACAACTCGGTGCTGGTCACCCACTGCACCCTCGAGCACTCCGACTGTGCCTTCATGGTAGACAATGAGGCCATTTACGATGTATGTCGACGAAACCTCGACATTGAGAGACCAACCTACACCAACCTCAACCGTCTCATTGCACAGGTGGTGTCGTCCATCACAGCGTCACTCCGGTTTGACGGTGCCCTCAATGTGGACCTGACAGAGTTCCAGACCAACCTGGTCCCCTATCCCCGCATTCACTTCCCTCTGGCAACCTTCGCCCCTCTTATTTCTGCTGAGAAGGCTTACCATGAGCAACTCTCAGTGGCAGAGATCACCAACTCCTGCTTCGAACCAGCCAACCAGATGGTGAAATGTGACCCCCGCCAGGGCAAGTACATGGCGTGCTGCATGCTGTACCGAGGAGACGTGGTGCCCAAGGATGTTAACGCTGCCATTGCCAGCATCAAGGGCAAACGCTCAATTCAGTTTGTTGATTGGTGCCCAACTGGGTTCAAGGTAAGTGTAGGGCTTGTGTGCAATCGGAGACCTGGGGGTGCCTAGAATAAGTGAATTTGACAAGAGGTGAACAATATTCTGTCCAATCCAGGTCAAATCATGTTCATCGATTCATGCATAGAAGTAAATTAGAGAATAAAAAAAAGGGTCTTCTGTTTAAGTTTGAGGAGTCCTTTATTTTTTAAAGGGTCATGAACCTTTGGAGCAATATCCCCTAGAGTGCAGTGAGGCTGGATCATTGAATAAGAAATTGGAGTTACAATCAGATCCAGATGATTTTATTGATTGGTGAGGTTGCTAGAGGGGCCAAATGGAATCCTCTTGTTCCTAAGTCTCATCTTCCAAAAAGATGCTGACATTTTTAATTGACAGGAATAGAGATTCATTGAATGAACAGAGCTGACGTTTTGAAATGAAGAGACAAGTGTGCTCACGGCTATCTCTGACAATTAATGAGCCATTAATGAGCCAAACTTTTGATTTCCAAGTCCAAAGCAAATGACATTTGACAAATGTCCTTCTTCTCCACAGGTTGGTATCAATTACCAGCCCCCGACAGTGGTACCAGGGGGCGACCTGGCAAAGGTGCAGCGGGCCCTTTGCATGCTGAGCAACACCACCGCCATTGCTTTTGCGTGGACCCGGCTCAATATCAAATTTGATAAGATGTACGCCAAGCGGGCATTTGTCCACTGGTACGTGGGGGAAGGCCTGGAGGAAGGGGAGTTCCAGGACGCAAGGGAGGACTTAGCCTCGCTTGAGAAGGATTATGAAGAAGTGGGGGTTGACTCATCCTATCTGGACAGAAAGGCAGAAGAGGAGGAAGAATAAGATTTATTAATTTAGAATGATAACAAGATTTAACTAAATTTTCTGATGTTATAAAGGTGGGGGTTCTCGAAAGCTTAACTTAATTTTGCATGAACGTTACAGATTATAATAAAGAAAACACATGGATTTGGAAGTCATTTTGCAATATAGTTTGTTTACAAGACAAGAGAGGATGAGAAACGTCATTCGGATGACACCTTTCACAACACACAGGTTTTAGGTTGTAGCCACTTTTGCAGAAACAGCAACACACACATCAAACAGTCTGAAACAATAAATTGATAATCGTCAGATCCTTGGTTATTTTTGTTTGTGATCTGGATTCAAGGGATAAATTTTCACCAGGATGCTGGGGAAATACCCTGCTGTTCTTGAATAGTGCTGTGGAATCTTTTGTATTCACTATTAAAGCAGAACAGCAAAGAGCAATTGAAAGTTGCTAGTCAGGCAGGAAAGAAAAGTTGATTGCCAATCACATCAGCCATAATCTTAAAGTAGACAGGATCCTGGGTTTTATTAATATGGGCAAAGAGTTTTTTGAACTTGCATGAAATTAAATAAAACAACTGAAGATGCTTGATTTCTGAAACAAATAAAAAGCAAATTGCTAGAGGAACTCAGCAGTTCTGTCAGCAGCTGTAGTGAGGAAAACAGTGTTAATGCTTCAAGTCCAATGACCCTCCTTCAGAACTGAAGGGTCAATGGACTTGAAATGTTGAAACTGTTTTTCTTTCCACAAATGCTGCCAGACCAGCTGAGTTTCTCCACTAATTTCTGTTGCTGAGTTAATTCCGCCTCAGCTGGGGTATTGCATTCCAGTGCTAGTCACTATACCTCAGGAAGGGATGAAGAACTTCACATATGGAGCTAGGCTGGAAAAACTAGGGCTCCTTTCCTTGGAGAAGAGAAGGCTGAGAGGAGATTTTCTTTTGGATGGATTCAAAATCACAAGGAGCATAGACAGGGGGGGGGGGGGAAGGGGGGGGGGGGGAGGAGATCTTTTCCCATTAGTGGATGGATTGAGAAATAAGTGCAGATTTGAAATCATTGGCAAAAGGTAGGTCCAACTGCAAAGGAAATTAGACTGGTCTCTGCAAAGGAAGAATGTGCAGGGTTATAGGGGGAAAAATGTGGGGGAAAGACATTAAATGAAATGTTCATTGCAAAGAACAACCTGAAAATCTTCTGCCAGTATCTCGTGAACAGGTAATAAGTGGTAGAGCAGGACCTATTGTAGATGAAGAAGGCAATTTATATACCCAGGAGAGTAGTCTACAATACTTTGAATACTCAGTATATGTGTTTACTTAAAATATAGATAGAAGAAGAGTGGCAGAATTTGTGTTGGAGTGGAAATTGATAGGGTGTAGTGAAAAAGCTGGCTATGATTATAGTGGAGAAGCTGTCTGGTCCACAGAGCTTGCATCTCAGGTTGGTAGACAAAATGGGGTTGGGGTTAGGTGGGGCGATGGTGCCATGATCTTCCAAACATCCCTGGCTAGAGGATAAATCAAGTCTTAATATCACTGGACTCCCGAAACCAGGGCAAAGTTTTGGGGACGTGAGCTCGAATCCCATTGTGGCAGATGCTAAAATTTGAATTCAGTAAAATCGTAAAGAGAGAGGTGGCTTTATGGCAACGATGTAACCACTGTTGATTGTGGTAAAAAGCCATCTGGTTCACCAATGTCACCTTCTGAGGAAGGGTCACCGGACCCGAAACGTTAACTCTGTTTTTTTCCTTCACAAATGCTGCCAGACCCGCCTGAGCTTTTCCAGCAACTTTGTTTTTGTTCCTGATTTACAGCATCCGCAGTTCTATCGGTTTTTATTTTGTAATCAACTGTAATGTGTAATCTCATGTCCTGGTATATCCCTATATGCATTATCATCATTGAATAACGTCACGAACTTGATAAAAAAATGTGGCAGCAAGTTCCACCCAAAGATGAGATGCAACATCGGTAGTGCTTTAGCATGGGCCTATATGCGTGCTAAACAACAGAAGCAGCATGCAATATAGTAAGGCTGTGTGGTACTAACATATCCAGTTGTGAATAGTGTGGACAATTAAACAACAAGCTAAAAGAGGAGGATCATCCATCTCCTCAATAAATTAGGTAACCTAGCTCATCAGTGGAAAGAATAAAGCTGAATGATCTGAAATCAACTTCTATCAGAACTAACAACTTGATGATCCATCCAGAGCTATCCTCCGATGATACAACTTCATAGACGCCTCCCTTCAATTCATTCGATAGTTAGGAAGCGTTCGCAGAGCACACTGGATGCAGAGGGGTGGGCAATGAATGCTGACCTTAACAGCATTGCCCAAATCATGAAAATAAAACTTTTAAAAGCTATATGAAGGAGCAGTATATACTTAAGAGAACAGATGGGTCTTTCTGTGACCCAGACATGAGTTTAGAGTGACATGTTGCCTCCATGGTCTCAGGGTCATGGATGCCAGTGAGCAAATGCACTGCACTCTGCGGGAGGAAGAATCAACAGTCAGCATCTGAAGTCCTCATCAATAACAGTGAAATCCTTCAGGCAGGTTTTCAGGAACTAGGAAGACGAATAGCATGCAAGACCACAAAGTTAGTAATCTCTCTTAACAAACAGGAATACAGAGTAGATTAAAACATTGGTGGAGCGATGGTATGGGGTTCAAATGGGTGGGCTTTGGATTCCTGGGTAGTTTGGATGGAATGCACTTCAACTAGGCAAAACTTCATGTGGTGCAGTTTGCTAATTCTATTGGGAAAAGAGTGTAAAATTGCAAAAGAATGTTGCATGAGAAAGGAAGAGAACAGCAGGCAACAGCATGAGTGTACTGGAGTACTAAGTGCAGCACTGGTCATCTCCTAGAGGAAGGATATGATCACACTGGAGGATGTGCAGAAGAGATTCACCAGGATATTACCTATGATGGACCATTTTAACTGTGAAGAGAGGCTGTATAAGCTTAGGTTTTCTTTAGAGCAGAGAAGGTTGAGGGGGACCTGGTCGAGGTGCATAAAATTCCAAGTGTTAGAAAGTGGGATTAGTGTAGTTAGGTCAGCGCAAACTTGATGGCCTGCTGTGTATATATACAAAAAGAAAGAGTACAAGAATTAGTCAGGTATGAGTTAGGGTCAGAACAAGAAGAAATGCAAGTATAAGTTAGGATTACAACATAGAACAGTACAGCACAGTACAGGATGTTGTGCCGACCTATTATCCTACTAAGATCAATCTACCCTGCATATCCTAACAGAACAAATGCAGCTACAGGCACAGAAAATCAAATGGGAGTACAATTTCATATCACTAACAGAGTGCTGTCTCATAAAGGTTAGTTCTGGGTACAAAATATCTTGGACAAAATATGTAAGAAAGATAGGGGAGGACTGAAAGAAGAATGGATAATTGTATTGGTTATGAAGAATTTTACACTGCAAGAGAACAAGGACGTCACAGATGGGTCAAAGACAGAATTTGTTTAGTTAGAGTTAAGGAACAATAGAAGTCCCTTTACAGCACAGGGCACATTCTACAGGCCACCAACTAATGGAATAGACAAAGAGGAACAAATTTGAAAGGAATTTAAGGAAATTTGCATGAAATTATAATGTGGGATTAGGTCAGCTATGGAAAAAAGGACAAGGGGTGATTCGGAGAGAGAATCAATTGCAGGAGGAACAATTTCATTGGGATGAAAAAGTTCCAGGAAATATGGAATCAAAGATTGGCAGGCAAAACAGAATTAAAGCAATGGGCTGCCTTTAAAGGCAGTAAATTTGGATGCTGTTGGGGCTACATGATTGATGCATATGCATCTCCAGATCCCTTTGTCTTTACACATTCTTTAGGATATGCTATCACATATATATCACCACTTCTTATCCCTTCTGCCAAAATGCAGCATCTCACCTTTCTGGTTAGAATCACAGAATCTCTACAGTGCCCACCAATTCTGCACTGACCATCCAAACAGAATCCCTACAGTGCCCACCAATTCTGCACTGACCATCCAAACAGCATCCCACCCAGAACCACCCCACCACCTTATCGCCTTAACTCCGCATTAACCACGGCTAATCCACCTAGCCGACACATCCCTGGACTTTATGGGACAATTTAGCATGGCCAATCCACCTAATCTGCACATCTTCGGACTGTGGGAGGAAACTGGAGCACCCAGCAGAAACTCACGTGGACACAGGGAGAACATGCAAACTCCATACAGTCGCCCAAGGCTGAAATCGAATCAGGGTCCCTAGTGCTGTGAGGCAGCAGTGCTAACCACTGTGTATCCATGCTGTCCACGAATTATTCTCATTATTGAATTCCAGCTGCAACTGTCTGCCCATTCCGTTGGTCTATCTACATCATGTAGTGGTTGATGTGTACTTTTCTCAGTGTTTGCTATCTCTCCACTTTTGGTAACATTGGCAAATTTGAAATTCTGTGTACCAATATCCTAGACACTTATATGTGGCAATTGATCCTTAGGGTATACTACCATTTACCACCATCCAGTCTGAAAAATAACGAATTACCACAACTCCTTCAGCTAACTTAACTTGACACTGACTCAGTTATTCCATAAATTCTAGCTTTAATCTGAGCCTATAAGCATTTGTCAACCTCTTTGTCCCTCAGGGAACCTACTCAACCTCTTAGTGCTATTTACACACTAGTGGAGGATTTTCACTTTTCCTCTAGTGACTGCCACTCCATTCTCATATTCTCTCTTTGCCAGGCTTATTTACCACTCACCTCCCCTCTCAATATTGTACTTGACCTAGTTCACACTTGAAGAATTCATTGTGCATAATTCATTCTTTGTTTCATTGTAATCTCTATCTCTCTCATATACCAGCCCTCTTTTGAGTTCCTCTCGTTTGCACTCTTGGTAGAATATATATGCAGCATCACACCTATTGATCTATTACAGCTTTTACTTCAGTCTTTGGTTTCAATTTACCCAGCCTGGATCCCATCTCATCTTGTTAAAAGTGTCCCTTTCCAGTCCAGACATTATATCACACTTTATAACTATACCTCGCTTTTCACCATTATTAACTTCTATCTGATTATATCATGAGCACTTTTTTCCCGAGTGCTCCCCCCATGACATTATTCCAATCTGATACTATTCCAATATTATTCCAATCAATATTTGGGTAACTGAAAATTGCCACTCCATAGTTCTTGTACATCTCTGTGATGTCCCTTAATATTTGCTCCTCTATCTTTTTCTCAGTCTCTCACTATTTGGAGGCCAAAGAATGTCCTCAGTTATACGATCATGCCTACAGTTATTTCTGCTATAACACGTTTCATTAGTGTGAATTGGCTGTAATGCGTTCGATGAATAGTAGACGCTATTTGGATAATGCACACTTTCTGCTGCACAGTATTGTGATTTTCTCTAGCGATTTCCCTATAATGCCATTTTCTATAGCACAAGTTCACACAAAAATGCAACTATCATGTACAAAATGATCAGAGGTATAGATA